AGAGAGATAGAATACAGTTAGATGGCTAGCTGATAACTGATGTGTGTCACTGCTATCCCTTGGATGTTAGTCTGTGCTGAATTCATTAAAGAGCACTGTTCTTCATGAGGACTGGTTATTACCGGCCACCATTACACTCCCTCCGGTATCTGAGCGCCTGATGTTGGACTGCAGTCCAGGGTGAAATTCTCTGAAGTCAGAGGACTAATGATGGCTGAGTCCTCTGTGAGTTTAAGGATGTGCCTGTTCGCATGCTTGGACAGTTTGGACTTGTTATTTTACAGCTTAAATAAAGGTTTGCTTGTGGTTCCCATCAGCACACACAGCACAGCTCTGCTTGAGCCTGACTCTGGACTTGATATTTGCTGTTCATGGGCGTCACTTTGGTTATCTGTCAGGTGTGTGCTGACCTTCTGACTGCTTCAGGGATCAATAAATAAAACCAATAACATCTGGATTGCAGGTAGAGAGTCGCTGTGTTTATCTGCGGCGTTTTTCCTTTGAGTGTCTCCTGCACGTCGCTGCTCTGTCACCTCGCCACAGATGGTAATGATTAACTGTCAGGATGTTACCTGCAGAGTCGTGTCAGTGTCGGACGACACCAGCAGCACACGCCCGACAACAGGCTCCTCCTCCTCTCACCTGAGAGATAACCACCCATTTCTTCTAACAGAAAAACAACAGTCAGCAGGATTTTATTTTGAAAGGGCCGCTATCAGACAGCAGGTTTAGAGAAGACCTGACACGAGGAAATCAGGTTTCCTGTTTCAGAAGTAGTGATGGGCTTTCCGTCTCTTTTTAGAGAACAGGCTCTTCAGGTTGTTTTGTTGCTTTAATTAACTTATTACCAACAACAATATACAATTAAGCAGAAAAGGAATTACTGATGTAAAAAGAAAAAACGTGGTTTTATTTATATATGTTTATATATAAATGTATATGGTGGCCCCTAGAGACAAAACACGTACAAACTCCAAAACACATTTCTAGCTTTAACTGAACTTCAAAGCAGAGCTACTAGATCACTTAAATGACACAATTGAAAGCATGTGTGTGTTGTTTGTGTATTTATACACAGGCACTCATATATATTCAAAGAATTAAAAAAAAAAGTTCATGTACCTGTTACTACCACACACCAAATCCGGTCGTTGGTACTTGCTGGCTTGTGTAGCCTCTAGGTAACAAAAGCTCAACACTGCCCCCTAGCATCCTGGAGCACTGCTGTTGTGTTTTGTACGTGTTTTGTCTGTAGGAGCCACCGTAATTATACTTTATTTATTCACTCCACATAAAATGTAATAAATAAATCATATAATACAAAAACCAACTATTTAAAATTTTCAGCTTTTTCCTTTTAAACAAATTTAAAGTGAAACAACACAAACACTGCAAACCACAACACAATTAAATATAAATTATAATATGAAAACAAAAAGAAGATGCACATTCTCTGTCATATGGACCTGCATGAATAAACTTTCTGAATCCTTTATCATCCACAGCTGAAAATAGTTGTGGATGATTACTATACCTTTCTAATGTGACCTTGTTGTCCCTGCTCTCTCTCGCTCCCTCCCTGTGCTACTGCGAGTGTAACTACCGCCCCGCCCCCCTCTGCCCAGCGCAAAGCACAAGGCTCGCAGGCAGAAAAAAGTGCGAGAGAGAGAGAGAGAGAGAAAAGAAAAAACATGGCTCCCAATAAGGAGCCGGCTCGCGTCGTTCGCTTCAAAGAGTCGGCTCTAAGAGCCGTTTCGTTCGCGAGCGACACATCACTATTCAGAAGTGGTGAAGACTCTGTCCTCAGCCTGGAACAAGTTTATTCCTCTTTCATGCAGCTGATATCAAAGAACCAATCAGAGGCCTTCATCTGCTCGCACACTGAAATCTTAATGAACTGTATTTATGATCAATCAGTGATCGATGTGAGTTTAATGAAGCTTCAGACCCAGAAACACTGATCAGCGATCAATCACTGCATCTGTCCATCACTGTAATCAATCGCAGTGATAGAGACAAACCCGAGGAAACTAAGAGCGTTGTTGCTTTTAATGAAGGCTGCAGAGCGTGAATGTGTGCAGTTATCAAACACGTGGATCACATGGATCACACGTCCACCAGAAAACTGAATCTGATCTTTATCTTCAGTTTGTGGCTGAATCTTTAAAGCCCTGGACTCCATCTTTCTTTCGAACGTGGCTCTGCTCTTCATATACTCGTAGCCATGGTGAATCCTGGTATCGGCCTGGTCTGTTTTTTGTTTTTTTTTAAAGCGTTTTTTTTAACATGAAGGGGATCTGTGGAAGGTTTATCCCTCCTCTCGCCCTGTGACAGCAGGGACAGACTCCAGATTCAGATTACTCAGTAAAAAACATAAATCAAAACACAGGGTCAGGCTAGGAGAGAAGAAACTGGAATTTGTGACATTATAGTTGCAAGTTCACAAAAACACACACACACACACACACATTTTCTGTTTAATATTTCTTAAATATTTCTTTCTTGTAAATTTCCATTTTTAAACTCGCTCTCTCCTTCTTCTTACCCCAGCCTATATCTTTACAAAGGATCACAAATTTCCTCCAAGGAAACACTAGATTACCACAGAGGCAACTGTAAACAGCACAGGTAACGGGAAAGAGACAAAATGTTTGTACACAAAAAAAAAACAGCAAAGAGCTGGGAAAATCTTTAAAAACCACAAAATAACTGCACACAAATAAATTACAGATAAATAATGAATGCTACAAAGGGTATAATAAAGTCACATAAGTACAACAAAAAGAAATACAATTTTTAAAGTAAAATGTTTACGTTTTTTAAGCGCCCCGTGTCTGCAGTACCACACTCCGCCCAGTTGGTGGCAGTGTGTTCACCGAAACTGCTGCACACGATTAGTACCAAAGAAGAAGAACAGAAGGCCAGTACCTGCGGTTCCTGAGTTGAGCGCAAATAATAGAAGAAAGCAGCTCGGTGAGGAGGTTTGGGAGCTGGTTTTGAGGGAAATATGACGCTTATTCCGATCATTGATCTATCTGAGTTGAATATATATTGCTAATGGTTTTCTTTAATCCGATTTTTGGCGTTACGAAGCATTTCCGAGCCGTTTTTGTCTGTAGCGAACTTTACACCAAACCCCGTTCAGAAATCTTTTATTTAAGACATCCCGTGTTTTCCAGAAAACACCCAACACACATAGAGCACGACTTCAGTTATGTTACATACGAGTATTGATTCGGAACTTTATATCCAGTATGTTATGACCGCGGTGATCGAAATGTTCAGACTATTTGTGCTTTGTGAAGTGTTCACCGTCATTAAAACCGCCTTAAAGTAGACGTTTTTTAAATGAGGTTTTGTATGTTGTAACTAAGCGCTGCTGTTTGATGCTCCACATCCTCACAGGTTAAATCATGTCCGCTGACCCCAAGATTGCGGAGCTGCTCACTGAGCTCCACCAGCTCATCAAGCAGACACAGGTCAGTATTGATCCGCTTCCTTTGTGATTGATCAGGTCAAGCTTTGATCACATCCTAATTACCTGCACTCGGCCCGCTTCAGGAGGAGAGGTCACGCAGTGAACACAACCTGCTCAACATCCAGAAAACGCACGAGAGGATGCAGACTGAGAACAAGAGTGAGTGTCAGCAGCTTTGAGCACATGTGCTGAATTTGTCGTGTGGTCCTAAACGTGGACGTGTGTCTCCTGCAGCTTCTCCGTACTACCGCACCAAGCTGAGGGGGCTCTACACCACGGCCAAGGCAGACGCTGAGGCGGAGTGCAGGTGAGAGGCCACTGAGCATGACCTTTAAATATCATGGTGATGTCACTTATATGTTATACAGGAGACTTCCAGTCTCAAGCTTGTTACTGTTTTGTTTAAATAAAGGTTATACAAATGAAAAAATAAAGGGGGACAGATGCATGAACACCATGACTGAAGCGCAATAAGCAGTAATTTCCTCTGAGTACAGACTGAGACTCTGTGCTGTTGGAGCCTTTTTAATGACATCATGTGACCAGTAATATGGCTGCTGTGAGGTCACTGCACGAACAGGCGGCCCAACAACCTGAGCTCGGGTTTCCGTTCATGTCGCCTTTCTAGCCTGTTCGTTTTCACATTTCTACTAAGAGTGAGTGAAAATCACCTTTTTCTTCTTCTTTTGTGTCTTTTCCTTCCGCCTCTCAGCATTCTGCGTCACGCCCTCGATAAGATCGCAGAAATCAAGTCTTTGCTGGAGGAGCGGCGGATAGGTGCGTGTCCGGTATTCGGCCTCTCACATCTGCAGCTGGACTTCCTGTTTCATGTGACACAAAACTCACCTGTCTGTCTGTCTGCAGCTGCAAAGATGGCGGGCGTTTACAGCGACAGTGACCCTCCCAGGAAGACGATGAGGCGTGGCGTCCTCATGACGCTCCTCCAGCAGTCGGCCATGACACTTCCTCTGTGGATCGGGAAGCCGGGGGAGAGGTAGGTGGTACTGCCCCAACGCCGGTGGCCACAATATTGGGCTCTAGTGACGTCCCCACAGCGCCATGGAAACACCTCAGATGGTGTTAAAGAGCAGCTTTGTGTCCTCGCCCAGGCTTCCTGTGAGGTCACGTCTTTATTTCAGGCTTTTATGCGTTTCTTTCACCATCACGTTAAACGGTGGTGGTGAGGCATCTTCTCTTTAAAAACGAGGACGTCACGTTTATCCGCCGAGTGTCTCTTCTGTTCCCGCCATGAGCAGCGAGCGGCACCGGCTTGTCGGTAGCTTGTACCCGATGCTCAGGTGTGCTCCGGCTGACTTTCTGAGGTAGCATCTTCTCTGTGACTCCTCCCTCTCCAGCCCTCCTCCTCTGTGCGGGGCGACCCCTGCGAGCAGCGACTATGTAGCCAAACAGGGAGACAAGGTGGCGGCGAGGGTGAAGAGCGTGGAGGGCGACGAGCAGTGGATCCTGGCTGAGGTGGTCAGCTACAACCATTCCACCAACAAGTAAGAACACGTGACCGTTTGTGGCGACGCCTGCGTGGTGTAATGCGATCATCAGCCTCTGACGCCTCCTCTGCTCCCCCTGCAGGTACGAAGTGGACGACATCGACGAGGAGGGCAAAGAGTGAGTTCCTCTTCGTTATGTTCTCTGACAGGAACAACGTGAAGGGCTTTCACGTTGAAGCTCGGACCGCAGCGAGGCTTTGTGAGCGAGGCCGAGTACGACTCCCAGCTTTAGCCAGAAGCAAGCGTTTATAGGATTTTACATCTGCTCTGGTTCTTCGTCTCTTCTCAGTGTTTTCCTCCTCCCGCTTTTCCTCGTCGTCTTTCTTCTTAGAGTCGTTCTCGTGCTGCAGATTTTTGTCCCTTCGCCTGTTTTTCGTGGAATTTCCTCCATTTTCAGTTTCCATTGTTATTCAGATCGGTGTACAGACGTAGAAATCAGAGGCTGGTTTATATGGGACGGTTTAAACCTGATTGCCACGCCTCTGACTCATTCATGAATGCAGTGATTGTGGGCGGGGCTTGTATGTTTCAGCGCGCGAAACGTGTGTTGATCTTGTCACAGAGGAGTAAACTGTGCCGGGTCTGTGGGAGAATCTCAGCAGCTTGTTCTCTAAAAGTGACAAATCTGCTCCTTCTTCTTCTTCTTCTTCTTCTTCTTCTTCTTCTTTGTTTTCTGAGCGAGCAGGCGGCACATGCTGAGCAGACGGCGGATCATCCCTCTGCCGCAGTGGAAAGCCAACCCGGAGACGGACCCCGAGGCGCTGTTCAGTAAGGACCAGCTGGTGCTGGCCCTTTACCCTCAGACCACCTGCTTCTACCGAGCGCTCATCCACACGCCGCCGCACAGGGTGAGGTTTTATTTTGACAGGCGCGTCTGTGACGGGTCAGCCTCGGCTCAGGGAACGCCGATTAATAAAAGCCTTTTCATGTTTTATCCTCTATGAGTTTATTCTGTGTAACGTTTATTCCAGAGTCGTTATAGCTTCTGCATAGACTGTAGATAAAAGATGCACGTGGCCACTGTCACGTCATCCTCTGGTTTCCAAACATTCGTGTTTTTGTTACTGTGACGTTGGCTTTTGGCGTCGGAAGTGACGGCGCGCCGACTTAGAGCCAAAGCTGATCAGCAGCTCGCCGCGAAGGAGGGTGGGGGCCGAAAACCACTGGGTGATGTCACAGACACTGCTTCCATCTTCTCTGTACAGTCTGTGGGGATTGACTCATTATAGGAGCCTCTAGTGGACATCAGAGGAACTGCAGCTGCTTCAGCCGCAGAGACAGAAACTGTGACTGAGAGCTGTTAATAAAGTGTGTGTGTGTGTGTGTGTGTGTGCAGCCTCAGGACGATTACTCGGTGCTGTTTGAGGACACGTCGTACCCTGACGGTTACTCACCGCCGCTCAACGTGGCCCAGCGCTACGTGGTCGCCTGCAAAGAGAACAAGAAGAAGTGAGCGGCGGCGGCGGGACCAAACGTCCATGTTTATAAGAACACGTGTTCCTCAGTCTGATGCTTGTATCCCTGGGACTGATGTTGTTTCTTGTCAGCTCTCATCAGAGTGGGATTTGTATTGATCAGCTGATCAGATGTTGAACAGCAGGAAGCACTCGAGGAAGAAGAAAAAAACGTTTTTTAATTTATTTTCAGGAAGTAAAAAAACTCATTCATGTTTTATTCAAACTGTTTTGTTGTTTTTTTACGTGTTCGTGTTTGTTGTTTAAAAAAACTGTGCACGGGTTTGTGTCCACGTCTCTTCTCTTTGTGTAAAACTGAACATGACTCCAAGTACAGACGCACAGGAAGTCGGTGAAACACACGACTCTCGTTTGAAACTAAAAGCTGTGACACGTGGAAACGTGATCTGCACGAGGAGCAGAGGCAGGGTACAGGTCCTGGGGTCACCGTCCTCGGGTCATGCTTGGACTTCCAGCTGTGTTTACTTGAAGGTTAAAAGAAAACCAGGTGCTTCAGTCAGATTAATACACGACAATCAATAGAATCAGAATATTCGTCCCTAAGTAAATTATGTGGGTTACAGTTGCTCCAGGACAGCAACAGACTGAACTGTTTAAACCATACAATATGTTCAGAGTTTACAAATGTAACAGACAGATGACATAAAGCTTTATTAGTCCCACACGTTGGTCACTGCCAAAAATATTGTGGCCAAGTTTAAGAGCAGCAAGAGTTCAGAAAAACAATAAGTTAAAAATAGAATAACGTGCTACACAACAAGAGTAAAATGCTTTGTCATAGTAGGAAAAATTGCACATCAGGGAGACAGTTACAACTGTGTGTGTCTGCACAGGTGCAGAGACCGACAGCAGCTGGAAGGAAAGACCTGTGAAATCTCCGTCCCACATCGTGGGTGCAGCAGCTGAAGGAGCTGCTCAGGGTGTAACTGTGCATTAGTTGTACAGGGAGATGGCCACAGGCAGGAATGACTTCCTGTGTCATTCAGTGGTGCATTATGGGTAATCTCAGTCTCACTGAACGTGCTCCCGTGGCTAGCCAGCATGTCACGGAGTGGGTGGGAGGTGTTATCCAACATTGTCTTTGTCTTAGACAGCACCAGCCTCTCCGACACCACCCTAAGGAAGTCCAGCTCTGTCTCCACAACATTACTGGCCTTGAGGATCAGTTTATTCAGTCTGTGGGGGTCTGCGACCTTCAACCTGCTGCCCCAGCATGCAGCAGCATAGAGGATCGCACTGGCCGTAACAAAAAATCCTGAGAATTGTCAGACAGATGTTAAATGACCTCAGCCGCTTCAGAAAATAGAGCCGAGTCGTGCTCCTCTCTGTATTTATTTTAATGAAGCATCTGAAACATCACACAAACTGTCAGTGTGCAGTTTGGAGGACGACAATCTCCAGCTTTGTTTTCATTCACACTGATCTCAGGAACGTAGTGTTTCCATTTCATATATTACCAGATATCAATGAGATTTTGTTGTATTTGTTATTTTTGTGATATTAAAATATTATATGAATTTCTCTTAAATTTACAGCTTGTTTTATAACTTTGTCCATGTTTAAATGAAGTGTTTTTAATTCTAGTAAATTCACCTGTTTGTTTTTTCCATATAAATTCCATGCTCTAAAAAGTACTTTAATTTGATCTTGTTCTTATAAGTTTGGGAATTTTTCTTATAATCCTTCAATTTTCACCCTTTTTTCCTCAAAAATATATTTTTGCTAGTTTTTTTTTGTTCTTGTAAACTGGACAATTGTTTTTCTCTGCAGAAAGCAGATTTTTCTTTAAGTTTTTTCTCCGAAATTCCAAATAACCTTGAAAATACTGAAACTGGTTCCTTAGTTTTTCCTTCAGTGTGTCTGATATCAGTTGTTGTTAGTTTGCATCTACAAGTTTTACAGTTACGGATCCACTAGAGTCCTTGAAGGCAGCACTGCCGCTACTGAGGCAGAATATCCCACAGTCCGTGAATGTTGCGGCGCCCCGCGGAAAGAAACAAACATGGCGGAAGCGGTGAGTGGGTGACAGGTCTGCTGGTGCTTTTTTAGTGATGAAACGTTACTGAAATCATGAATGTTGTGTTTAATTAGAAGGTTAGGGGCCTCCTGATTAGACCTACAGGAAGACGGAGGTGAGCAGCTTTGGCGGAAAGTCCGTTTAGATCGACTAACTGCGTTAGCGCGACGTTAGCTAACCTTAGTCAGAGCGCTTCAAAATAAAAGCCAGGTATAGTTTCGCTTTCTTGTTTCTGTCGATGGCGTTAAGACAACAGAAAAACTGCGCCGAGGATCGCTGAAAGCTTTTTGCGAGGTTAAACTACAACCCAGCTCTGCTTTTAAACAAATTTAATCACTTTTAAACTTCTTGTTGATGTTTGGTTTGTTTTGGGGTCAGTTACGCAAAACAACAGACGGTGCACTAGACAGGGGGAAATACCAGTACAGGCAGGTGGAGAGCAGCGCGAGGGGGAAGAAGCTTTAACGTGGTTTGAAGACGGAGGAGGCCGAGCTGAAGATGTTGGACAGCAGGGACAGGATCAGAAACGAGTCCATCAGAGGGACAGCTCAGTCAGGGAGGCTGAGATGGTCTGAGCATGTGCGGAGGATGACGATGGAGCTGCAGGGCTGGAGTGACAGAGGAGTGTGCTGGGATAGGAGGAGGCACATGAGCTGCTGTGGTGATCTCTGCATGGAGCAGCAGGAAGATTCACTTTTAAACTCAGTACTGTGACATTTCTGTGTGAACTTTGGGGCTTTGAGGAACACGTGCTTTCACATGCCACTTTATTAGATACATCTGTGATATTTAATTAAAGCAGAAGAATCAAACACTTTTATCAGAGGAACCTGGCGTGATGGTGGTGGAGGTGTTTAAAGTCAGCAAAGTGTTTTTAAGCAGGGTTGACTGCTGAGCCTGAGCATGCTGCTCCCACTGAGCACTGAAGTTAAACTTTAAATAAAGCTCTTTTTACTAACGGTGTTTTTTAGCTTTAGTTAACTGTAGTAACGTTGGTTCAAGTGGTTCTGGTCGTCCATCTTCTTCGTCTTATCCGGGGCCGGGTCGCGGGGGCAGCAGCCTAAGCAGAGGAGCCTGGACTTCCCACCTCCCCCGCCACCTTCTCCAGCTTGTCCGGGGGAACAGCCGAGAGATATAGTGTGTCCTGGGTCTGCCCCGGGACTACTCCTGGCTGGTTTTGTCTAGTGTAGACTTTATGTTTGTATCTTAGTTAACAAAACTATTTTGTTGACATCTAGTTTTATTCGTAGTTTAGTTTTAGTTAACTATAACCCCAGTCCTGTGCTGCCTTACGTTATAGAAGTGTTCCTAATATTTTGCCCCCTGGTGTCTGTTGAAGGCGTCTCGTGCTGGACGTTTCTCTTACTTCTGTCTCTGTTCTCAGGTTCACAGCAGCGACGTTCCACTCCCAAAGCCACCGCCAAAGCGCCGACGCATCCTCGACCCGTCAGCCATTGTCCCCGTGCCCATCTACTCCAACAAGGTAAGGAGCCAATAAGAGCCATGGAAGCTTGTTTGGATTAAAGTGAGCCGGACAACATGGACCAAGAATCATACATCACACTGTATCTCTGAGCTTCAGCTGTCAGACTTCAGAGGAGCTGGATTCTGTCAGAAGAAACTCAGTAAAATACATTATGTGGGGTGATATGGTACTACAAGGTCATTAAGATCAGATGGGGCCTGATTATTTAAGACCTTGTATGTGAGGAGCAGGATTTTGAATTCTGGATTTAACAGGAAGCCAAAACAGGAGAAATATGCTCTCTTTCTAGTCCCTGTCAGGACTCTTGCTGCAGCATTTTGGATTAGCTGAAGGCTTTTCAGGGAGTTTTTTGAACATCCTGATAATAATGAATTACAGTCGTCCAGCCTGGAAGTAATAAATGCATGAACTAGTTTTTCAGCGTCACTCTGAGACAGGATATTTCTAACTTTAGAGATGTTGCACAAATGGAAGAACGCAGTCTTACATATTTGTTTAATATGTGCGTTGAAGGACATGTCCTGGTCAAAAATGACTCCAAGGTTCCTCACAGTGTTACTGGAGGCCAAGGTAATGCCATCCAGAGTAAGAATCTGCTTAGATACCATATTTCTAAGCTTTTCAGGGCCGAGTACAATAACCTCAGTTTGATCTGAATTAAGAAGCAGAAAGTTAGCGGCCATCCAGGTCTTTATGTCTTTAAGACATTCCTGCAGTTTAACTCATTGGTGTGTGTTATCTGGCTTCATGGACAGATAGAGCTGGGTGTCATCAGCATAGCAGTGAAAATGTATGCTATGTCTTCTAATGATACTGCCTAAGGGAAGCATGTATAATGTAAACAGAATTGGTCCTAGCACTGAACCCTGTGGAACTCCATAATTAACCTCAGTGTGTGAAGAGGACTCTCCATTTACATGAACAAACTGGAGTCTATTAGATAGATATGATACTTTAATCTATCAGCTGTTCTTGTGATTTTCCTCTGTGAGTCAAATTGAATTGAAAAACATGTAAAAAAAAAATTGTACATATATATAAATGACGTGTCATGCATTCCTCAGACATTAAGCTGTGATTCACTGTAGAGCAGTGCTGTGTCCCTTCAGTGGGAGGGGCTTAAATACATCTTCATGCAACATCAACCTGTATCACATGAACTAGATTGTCCTGATCCTGTGTTTTGTGTCTGCAGGTGAAGAGCAGTCTGCAGCTGAAGCCGACGGCAGCGCTGCTCACCGAAAAGACCGACACAGGTAACAGCTGACGCGCTTTTATCCACGCTCAGAGGAGCGGGTGATTTTCTGGCTTTAACCACTTCCTGTCTGTGAGCAGATGACGACGCAGACGACAGTTTGTTGTTGGAGTTTTCATCTCGAACCGAGCCGGTGCATTTCGTCACCCTCAGCGACTCCGAAGATGAACACGTGCAGAAGAAGGCGGAGCAGCGGCCGTGAGTCAGAACCCGCATCGTGCCCGAGCTTCCGAACGTTAAGCCGAGTTTAGTTTGAATTCGTTGCTGTGCCTCTTGCTTTATTTCAGAGACGCCGTGCGCTGTCCGTCCCCTCCTCCTCCAGAGAGTCCCGTACAGAAACAGTCCAGGGCGATGAAACAGAAGCTCAGGTGAGTCCGCGTGTGTGCTTCCTGTTTCGTTCTCCAGACACATCCGCTAAAGATCAGCGCTGGCTTTGTTTTTGTTCCCACCTCAGTGAGATCGACCAGAAGCTCCGGGCGGTGAGCTCCCTCCTCTCTCCAGAGCCTCAGGGCGGCCTGTCGAGACGGCGCCGAGGTCCTCCCGTGTCACATCCTGAGTATGTGCGCGTGGACGACGATGAGGACGATGACGTCATCATCATGAGCCCGGAGCCGGAGTCAGAGAGCTCCTCAGTGCGAGAGATCCCGCTTAAGATCCGCTGCAGGACTGAGATCCACAAGATCCCGGTGCTGTCGGTACGTACAGGTAACAGCAGCGCAGGTTAATAAAAGGCCACTGTGCCGCGTTTCAGCAGGTGTGTTAAGCTCCGCCTCCACAGCAGTCAGAGTCACATTGATTGAGAAGTACTGACCCGGGGACCAGACACCCAACCCAGAGGATTATGGGCCCTTTTAACGTAATGTATGTTTAAGCATCCTGTCAGTTATTGATTGATTGATTTTCTTTTTTTAGTCGACGCCTTTAAGCGATGTGGTGACGCAGCTGTCTGTCATCCTAAACATCCCGCCTCCTCGCCTCCTGCTGCTGAGGGAGGAAGAGGAGCTGCCGACGAGCGCCACCATCAGCGAGCTCGGCCTCGGCATCGCCGACATTATAGGTGAGTCCCAAACGCAAAGAGCCCCTGTTTGCAGTTTGTCCTCCGCACGGCGTCACCGTGGATTTTAAACAAACGCTCAACAAGATCCGAGGTCGATTCCACGGGTTCAACTGGTAGTTGTTGTATTTGCTGTTCACTGAAACTCTCAACGTGAGGTCCAGAGAGATGCTGGTGAAGGTGGGGGAGGTCATCATCAGGCTGAAGGACCAAAACAAGCCAATCAAACGGTACGAGAGACCAAATCACCAATCAGAACAGAGCGAACGCACCGAGCAGCTCAGCAACAGTAAAAGACCAGAAAACATTTAAAGTGCAGGAGGACAAAAAAACTGCTTCAGAGGTGTAACCACCTCCATCAGCGACACAATAACAGCTCCCACCGTCCTGAAGCTGTCTTGGTGTGCAGCTCGCTGTTAATAAAGATTAACTGGCTCACTGTGTTGAGCAGGGGACTCTTATGTTGAAAGGGTTCTGCCCAGCACCGTTTCCTGTGTGTGGCCAGAGGGTGATATCAGACAAAGAAGGATTATTTTGAACTGTGATTCATGTGAAGCTGCTCTGATGGAGTCCCAGAGTGCAAAATGTTTTCTTCTTTGTGTGTTCAGAGTGTGTGGTCATGGCGGCGGAGGATGGAAGCCAGTCAGACGGTGATGGCAGCATCATCACTGTGAGGCTGCAGAGCAAAGACAGAGACTCTTCTCAGGAGTTCTCTCTGCACAGAGTTCGTACCTCCTCCTTCTCCTTGTTTCTCACAGCAGGGCGTTAACGCCGATGATGTAATGACGCCGTCTGTTTGTTCCTCAGGAGGCGCCGCTGAGGTCCATCTTCTTCCAGTACGTGTCCAAGATGTCTAACAAGGATCAGAAGAAAGTGCGCTTCCATTTCGACGGCTCCAAAGTGACGGGCAGCCAGACGCCGGCGCAGCTCGACATGGAGGACGGTGACATCATCGAAGTCTGGGTCTGAGTCGCCCACTTCAGCTCTACGGTTTATTTAAGCGTCACTGCGATCATTTCAGAGGTCACTTTATTGTCAGGTGCTGACGATGGGACACGGACAAAATGACAGCAAAATCCAAGCGCACCAATCAGGTCTTTAACCTTTCTGTGTCCACACTGAAGCCACTTCCTGTTTTTGTTTGTGAGTATTATTTTTATGAAAATCAAATAAAAGCAAAACAAGCTGACCTCACATTATTTGCATGAGTGAGGTCATGATGAAAAACCTCCACCTGTAAAGGGCAAGAACATGGCCGCCCTGGAGGCTCAATGTGAATGTGGAAGAGTACTGTAAATAAAAGATGGACACAGATGGTCCTGAAGGAAATGACCTGTAGGCTTTTTTTGGACGTGATGATGTCGGTGACCGTGTAGGAACAAACAAATCCGGTCACAGACTCACTGCCCTACAGTCGCTGGCACCGTGGCAACCACCGGCCACTAAGGAAAAAAGTGTATCCCCCAACATGCTAGCAAAAACCTCACGATTGCTTCAGTTGCTAGCATGTTGCTGCGGTTCACCCTTTAAAGTAAGAGGTGTGTCAGAAAATGACCAGTTGATGAGAATTTCTTTATTTTCTTTCACAAAAGAGAACGAAAAGCCAAGTTTAGCAAAAGCTTTTTTATGTCTGCATTAAAGTCACCATTTCATTATTAAAAGTGTAATTTTTTTAAAGGGAAGTTTTGCCAACAAAAAAAGTTCAATATTATTATTAATATTATTATTATTTAAATTCACTATTTAAGAAATGTTTGTTTTTATTTCGGTTTTATGAGAAATAAAGTTACCAAAAACAAATCCTGATTTAAAACATGAAAGCGGACATAAGCAGCCTCCGCCCAGTTTTACTGTTAAAAAATAGTGTTTCTATCAGCGGGTGGAGGGGGACCCACTCTGCGTCACTTCACGGTTGGAGATAAATCCACGGAACGTTACTGAACCACTATCAGCTTCTCCACCCACTCACATCACGGCTGATCGCGGGATTGATTCTGTCACGTGAATTTCGGTAAGCGGGTCATGGCGTCATGTGAGCGGAAGTGGCCGTCAGAGGTGTCATGGCGCCGGGAAAGAAGCGTCTGTCCTGGAGCGTCGGGCTTTAAACGCTTCGTTGGCGTTAACGTCTCTAACCCGGCGCACGGCTCGTGTTTCTGTTTGACGGCGTCAGGATGGAGTCTGGCACGAGCTCTTAGCTTTGTGAGAGGAAGTGAAGATTTGGAGCAAAGAAGAAGAAGCGCCAGCCTGACTCATCCTCACAGGTAAACAACAACAGCGGGCCCACAGACCTGCTCTGCAGAGGTCCATTTAAAAAACAGTGAATTTAGGGTGGCTTTGATTTTTCCTTATCGGAGATAATTCGATTTTACTGCTCCTGACTCGTTTATCAGCGCAAACCGCTCGGTGATTTACTTAAAGAAGCCTTCAAGAACTTATCATTTAATCTCCGCTAAAACAAAACGCGTTTAAAAATGTAATCAAATGTTAACCGAATTTATCAGCAGAGGTTTAAAATGTGCTCTGAAAAATCTCAGCTGATAAAAAAGTAACAAAAGGTTTTTTTGCATGTTCTTTGGTGTTCGGGCTTTGCTGCGCTGCCTGGCTGTACCTACATTTCCTAACTCTGTAATAAAAGAGCCGAATTTAACGCAGCACGCATTAAAAGGTATTAAACCACATTTCAGGTCAATATAATTAACTGTTATTATCTTTGATGGCAGAACAAACACATCTGTGATGATTACGAAGCGAGTTTTAAGACCTTTAATCTTCTTTGAGCCTTTTAAAAGTAAAGTTCCTAATTGGGAACACGTTGAATGGAGATCGGAGCACAGTTTAAACACACTTTAAACATTAATATTGAATTTATGTCAAGATTCCTGAGAACGTGTTGAAGCTGAATGACGTTTATTAGCAAAATAGAAAAAGTGTGAGACATTTGAATGGAGTTTGGTGCTGTGCTCGCTCTCCTCTCCTTTAACCTCGTCAGCTGCTGCCTTGTTCAAACAGCCTTTTGTTGACTTGTGCACGAGTGCAGAGCAACAGCAGCACCCTGGTATTGATGAGGATCCAATCATCCACTGATCAATAAGATGAGCAAAGGGTCACCTGGACATGTCTTATCTTTATTGGAGTCACTTAACAGGAGCACTTCCTTCTGTATGAAAGCAAAACATCAGCCTGAATCAAATATGAGCTCATTTAAGAGCAGTAAGGATGGACGACGGGTGCTGAACAGAGTCCAGGGTGGTGGACTGTTTCAGTTTATTTGCATGTAATCATAGTCATAAAGCCAGCATTCAGTTCCACTCCTCTGATGTCCAAGTGCCTTTATTTGAGCAGAGGGAGAGATGGACCCCCTCAGAGTCGCACTTTTAATTCAATAAAGTCAAAACAAAAAGAAAAGAGCGGCAGAGCGTTTGATGTTCACCGTGTCAGCAGATTGTGCTCGTGTAGAGTATCACATGGCCGCGGTTTCACTCGGTCAGCTTCTCCTTTCTCCGCTTCTTCCTCTTCTCCTGCCTTCATCCTCGGAGCTCCTGCAGAGCTTTCTGCTGCCGGAGCAGGTTTGCGAGTACGGCGTCATGTGTTCACCCGGAAGTTTCAAGAACCTCACCAGTAGATAAACTGGATTTTCCAGCCACTTTTCAGCGTTCACCTCCTCTGCATGTGGAAACATGAACACCACCATTTACACAAACTTCACATGGTTTCACCTTCTTTGAAGACGCGTTTGCACTTTTAGGCTTCATACACATATCAACTGTATCCATGTAGTTCTGCTCTGTGAGCAGTATAACTGCCAACGAAGGAAGAACATCGCGTTCGACGAGCTGTTCATGGAAAGCAAACATTTCACACTCGCTGTTGCGTGACTTTGTCACTTCCTGCTGTCTGCTGCAGGTGAGCGATGTCTCGATATCAGTTTGGAGTCACACCTGTTTGAGCGATCCTGCTAACAAACGGACTGAACCACCGGTAGAAGGAGGATTTAGTGAAGCGTCCGTCTGGCAGAGGACCCAGAACGGGGCCCTGTGGCCCCCGCGGGTCAGTGCGACGGATCAGTGAGTAATAATCTGATCTCTCTCCAGCGGCGGCCATGTCTCGAGGCGAGCCGATGTCGGACTCTGCTCCGTTCTTCTCCTCTGACAGCGAGGCGGAAGGTCCGGAGGATCAGGGCACCGCGACGGCCAATCAGCAGCCAGATGAGGAGTCGCCCAGCGGGGTGTCCAGAGGCCGGGCGTTGGTGATCGTCTTCGTCCTCTGCTACATCAACCTGCTCAACTACATGGACAGGTTCACCGTGGCAGGTACGCTGCTGCCGGGGACGTTTGTTCACATCCACGTGAGCGATGCGTGCGAAGATTCACGTGTTGGTCCAATGCATGCGTGGAAGTTATTTCTGTAACACCTGCTTCTGATGCCAGAGGTGCAGGTGAGTGAAATATGAGTGAAGTAAATGACGTTTGTTTTGTGCACCAGGTGTTCTCCCTGACATAGAGCACTACTTTGGGATCAGCGACACAGAGTCTGGCTTACTTCAAACAGGTAAGGAGGAGAACTCCACCCCCTCATCATGTAGCAGGACTTATGTTTCATGAAAAGAAAGTTTTATTTCCATTTTCAGCACAAATGTTGCTGCAGACAAACACGATGAGCTGCTAATGGTTATGGTCACATGTTACTTGACTGAGCGTCAGACTAAAGAATTTGTGCCCGTTGTAGTGACGGCTGTTTTTAGAGAACCGGCTCTTCAGGTTGTTTTGTTGCTTTAATTAATTTATTACCAACAACAATATAAAATTATGCACAAAAGGAATTATAATGTAAAAAGAAAAAACGTGGTTTTATTTATATATGTTTATATATAAATGTATACGGTGGCCCCTAGAGACAAAACACGTACAAACTCCAAAACACATTTCTAGCTTTAACTGAACTTCAAAGCAGAGCTACTAGATCACTTAAATGACACAATTGAAAGCATGTGTGTGTTGTTTGTGTATTTATACACAGGCACTCATATATATTCAAAGAATTAAAAAAAAAAAGTTCATGTACCTGTTACTACCACACACCAAATCCGGTCGTTGGTACTTGCTGGCTTGTGTAGCCTCTAGGTAACAAAAGCTCAACACTGCCCCCTAGCATCCTGGAGCACTGCTGTTGTGTTTTGTACGTGTTTTGTCTGTAGGAGCCACCGTAATTATACTTTATTTATTCACTCCACATAAAATGTAATAAATAAATCATATAATACAAAAACCAACTATTTAAAATTTTCAGCTTTTTCCTTTTAAACAAATTTAAAGTGAAACAACACAAACACTGCAAACCACAACACAATTAAATATAACTTATAATATGAAAACAAAAAGAAGATGCACATTCTCTGTCATATGGACCTGCATGAATAAACTTTCTGAATCCTTTATCATCCACAGCTGAAAATAGTTGTGGATGATTACTATACCTTTCTAATGTGACCTTGTTGTCCCTGCTCTCTCTCGCTCCCTCCCGCTCTGTTCCTGTGCTACTGTGAGTGTAACTACCGCCCCTCCCCCCTCTGCCCAGCGCAAAGCACAAGGCTCGCGTGCAGAAAAAAGTGCGAGAGAGAGAGAGAGAGAAAAAACCCACTCGCGTCGTTCACTTCAGAGAGTTGGCGACCGACACGTCTGGCACGTTGGTAGAAGTGGTCTTCATGTTGGAACCATAAACGAACCTAAATACAAACCTTCTCGAGTGCACCTGTGCTGTGGGACAGGGTTTTTCTGTCTCACAGTTACTGGTAAATACTGACTGCAGTCACATGACCACAGGTCACTTCCTGACTCCAGCTCTCACCTTTGTGCTTCCTTCCAGTTTTTATCTGCAGCTACATGTTCCTGGCTCCTGTGTTTGGTTACTTGGGCGACAGGTACAACAGGAAGTACATCATGAGCGGCGGCATAACATTCTGGTCGCTGGTGACGCTCGCCAGCTCCTACACGCCCAAAGAGGTGAGAGAAATGTTTGAACTCAGGAGGAAAACTTTAGTGAAGGTTTGAATGTCCACAAACGCACGTGTTCTCCTGCCGCAGCACTTCTGGGCGCTGCTGCTGACTCGAGGCCTGGTCGGCGTCGGCGAGGCCAGCTACTCCACCATCGCTCCGACCATCATCGCCGACCTCTACGTGAAGAGCAAGAGGACCAACATGCTCTCCATCTTTTATTTTGCCATCCCTGTCGGCAGGTAGCTGCAGACGTGTTAACGATGATCCAGAAAGTGAAAACTCAAAATTCTAACTAAATTAAATAATTAAATATTTATATTATTGGTGTTTATTAAATCGCACCTGAAAAATCCATGTCATTAAACTTCCCTCGCAGTCTTTGTTACTACATTTACTATTATTAATCATTATTATTGATATGATTAAATATTCAGTGTTCTGTTTGTATCGTTCCACAATTTTTGCTTTAAAAGTGACTAAAAATAAAAATATTTATGTGGTTAGCATGAATGAACTTCCTGGGAGTTTTCATTGTCACACAGGAAGTGCGAATAGCTGACCTCTCTTTGTCTCCTCCCGTCAGCGGTCTCGGCTACATCGTCGGCTCGCAGGTCAGCAGCAGGGCAAAGGACTGGCACTGGGCGCTGCGGGTGAGCCAGGCAAACATCTGCTGCAGCTGTGTGGTCTCCTGCTGTTTCCCCCAGCTGATGAGCGTTTGCGTTGTCCTTCCTCCTTCAGGTGACTCCGGGTTTGGGGCTGATCGCTGTGCTGCTGCTTCTGTTTGTGGTGAAGGAGCCGAAACGAGGAGCCGTCGAGGCCCGACCCGAGAATCGCCTGCACCAGACCAGCTGGCTCGCCGACCTGCGCGATCTCAGCAAGAAGTAGGTCACCGCTATTCTCAGAAGACGCTCTGGCCTCAGCTTATTTCTAGGCTCAGAATATAAAGTCGCGTTCGACAGAATCTCCATCACTGATCACATCGTCTCCATCCATCAGTCAGAAACATGCATGCTGCAGTGAGCTGCAGGCTCTGAATATCTCGACAACGACTCGGCGCGAAGCTGCGGTCTCGTCCTGATGGGAGAGGAAGGTTCTGGTCTGCTGTTCGTGGGCTAAACAAGGACACAGCCAGCTCGTTTCAGTAATGTTCGACTCAAACTACCAAGCGTCAAAAATGAGCAAACGCGATGAGGGCCTGAGTAATTGTGTAATTGCAGGTTTTAAATATGCAGCTCAGGCCAAGGGAAGCCAGCTGAGTCACGTTTCTGATAGGAGGGTGAAGTCTTCGGTTAGAGAGGGCGGAGGAGCTGTTCTCCGGGTCAATCTGACGGGTCGGCTTATAAACCTGAAGTCTGAGCAGCTTTTAGGTTCCCATCAGATCTCGACCCTGTGAACAGACGCCTGTGGGCAACATCCACGACTACTCCCAGTGAACAACACGATCCTACGTTACATTTCTTCATGGCGCGTAACGGACTGAATACTGAGACTCGGAAACAAAAGAGTGATATCTGATGTGTGCGCTGCTGAGGAAAAGCACACAGATGCTGTTGTGCACACTCACCCACTCACTGGGTTTAATAACGGGACTCTGCTCCCTCTGACGGGCCGCGTCCAGCTTGGTTCTGGTTTCGTCACAGTGCTGTAATTAGGGATGGGTACCGGTGTCCGGTGCCATGATGGCACCGGTTCTGACATAAACGGTAGTAACCAGACCGAAAAGCAGCGCACATTTCGGTGCTTTATTTCGGTGCTTTTTTTCCCTGAGCTGTGATACACTTTTAGCCAATCGTTTTACGTTTCCGAGGATAGTAGGCGGGGCCAGGTACGTACGTTCTTTTAGAGCAGAGCTACAGATTAAAAATGTCCAAGGCGAAGCGGTCAAAGTCTGGCTGTACTTCATAGCAAAAGATGCAAACTCAGCAGCAACAAGTGCTTTAAGCTGATACTGTGATACTGTCAAAGGAGGTAACACCAAGAATCTGATGAAACGCCTGGCGACGCATAGCGTTTTTTTAAAAGCCGAGAAATGCGCCGTATTTGATAGCTTGCTGTGAGACCTCACACCGAGCACATCTACTGCGGGTGTGGTGCCTGTTATCGGACACGGAGTTAGCAACATCCCCCAAAAACACGAAGAGGAGAGTCCTGGCCCCTAGCCCTGCCAGTGTAGCAGAAATGATGAGGATGATGATGCAGCAGCCGTTCTTCTCTGCGTGAGTAGCTTAATGTTGTTCGTGTGTAATTTACGTTGAGTAGGCTAACCACGTTATTACATTAATGCAGGTAAGGTGAACTAGCAAACATCATCATAGCTACATGCGGCTGTCTTCTTGTTTGATGGCAGATACTCCCTTCACCCTGGCCAAAAAGGCTAAAATGACCAAAGAAAAAGTGGAAAACAGTTAAACATGAGAGGATTTTGGACAAAGTTTGTGTTCTCCATTCTTTAAGCACCGGTTTGAGCACCGGCACCGTTTCAAAAGTACCGATTTGGCACCGGTATCGGATAAAACCTAAACGATACCCATCCCTAGCTGTAATACTGGGATATGAGGATGAGGACTCAGTGAAGGGTTAGAGGGCAGAGGAAGAGCTTTGCTGTCACGTTCACAGTTCTCAGACATCCACACGATGATTCACTTAAATACTCTCCTCCCCCCAAAACAGCCGAGCTCACACCGTTCTGTCACGGCGTCTCTTTGGTAAAGCCATGCCGTGGTTTTAATGCTTTGACGTTCAGCTGGTTTCCATCTCTCTCCTCCGCAGCCGCAGCTTCATGTTGTCCACGTTCGGCTTCACGGCCGTGGCGTTTGTGACGGGCTCTCTGGCTCTCTGGGCGCCAACGTTCCTCTTCAGGGCGGCCGTCTTCAACGGGGAGAGGGCTCCCTGCATGGAGGCTCATTGCGAGTCCTCAGACAGGTAAACGTGACTCTACACCTGAGGTGGGCGGGGCGGGCGGTTACTTGTTAAATTCGACCTCGATGGAGGAATGCAGCATCCTGATGGTTTGGGGTTTTTTTTTTCTCCTCAAGTCTGATTTTTGGGACCATCACCTGTGTCACCGGCGTGCTGGGTGTGGCCAGCGGCGTGCAGGTGAGCCGACAGCTGAGGAAGAAGACGGCCCGAGCCGACCCGCTGGTCTGTGCCGCCGGTCTGCTCCTCTGTGCACCGTTCCTCTACCTCGCCATCATGTTCGCCCAGGCGAGCACCGTCGCAACATATGTGAGTCCTGCATAGAATCGCAGCCACCCGTCCACGCACCCGTCCACGCACCCGTCACCATTTAACGCCCAGCCTCCATACATGCATCCATCTGAGCAGTCAGAGGGTCGTGGGAGGTGTCAGTGTTTGAGTTTCAGCATTAATCACGACACAAAGATGGCTGACACACCTTTAGAACAGCTCCACCTGCTGGTTGTTCGTTGATATCTTTTCTGTTCGTCCCTCCAGGTCTTCATTTTCTTCGGGGAGACGTTCCTGTCCATGAACTGGGCCATCGTGGCGGATATTCTTCTGGTGAGACATGTCTCCTGTTGGACTCGAACACGAACTTCCTGATTACTCACAGATAGCTCGTGATGGTGACATGAAAAAATAAAAATAATTGAAAGCAACCAAATGAATTTGATTACAGCTAAATGTGATTGGCTGATACAGAATCTAAAATGCAGAATTTACAATATTAAAGAAAGTGAAGACGACGAGTGATTCTCCGTCTGTTTCAGTACGTAGTCGTCCCCACTCGACGCTCCACAGCCGAGGCTCTGCAGATCGTCGTGTCTCACCTGCTGGGAGACGCAGGAAGTCCCTACCTGATAGGAGTGGTACGTACACACACACACACACACACACACACACACACACACACACACACACACACACACACACACACACACACACACACACAGGCTGTTGTTGCTGACTGATAATCGACGTCCATCTTGAACATTGGCCCCTCCTCTTCCTGTGTCAGATCTCCGACTCTCTGAGGAAGAACGACTCCTTCCTGTGGCAGTTTCGGTCTCTGCAGTTCTCCATGCTGCTCTGCGCCTTTGTGGCTGTGGTGGGCGGAGCTTTCTTCCTCGGGACCGCAGTCTACATCGAAAGAGACCGCGAGCGAGCCGAGAACTACGCCCCCACAGGTGAGACGCCCCTGTGTGTTGTGCTCGCAGCTGATTGGAGGTGAAATTGTGACATCATTTCTGCCGTGACTCCTAACACTTGTCGTGTTTGTTTGTTTTTAACAGATGAGCCGATCGTGGTGCCGAAAAGCGGGCGCTCCACCCGGGTTCCGGTGTCCAGCGTCCTGATCTGAGGAACCTGGCGGAGGTTCTTCGCCACCTGCGGCTGGTTGTGTCTCACCTGTCGGTGTCGCAGACTCTCTGCCGTGCAGAAACGCTTCAGGACACTTTTTATTTTTGCAGATTTGATTGCTTTTTATAACCTTTTCTGCCAGGAAGGCTTGAGAGCGTGTTCTTCAGCTCGCCTCTCGGCTCGGCGGCCACGTTTCAGAGCGCGTATGGCGTCGAGACTCGACCGAAGCTGCTCCGTGGACTTTACTGACCCCGCTGTCATCACTCAGCAGCTGATCTGTGATCAGCCCGGAGGCAGAAAGACGGATGACGTCGTGCTCTCGCGTCTTTCCAGCAGAAGCTTCGTTAATCACTTTGATAAGCGCGTTTGAGCTGTTTTAGTTAGAACACTAACTCTCTCCTGTTTCCTTCAGCGCCTCGACCGTTTCACCTCTCATGGTTTTAAAGAGCCTCTATTTGAATCCCACATCGGCCCCCGACCCCAGGCCTGACCCCTGACCTCTGACCCCATCCCTGGACACTGTAAACATGTAATTTTTAATTTTTTTGAAATGTTTTTATTACATTTTCCTTCCAACATGACTGACACATGAAAACTGTCCGTGGCGACTCTGACTCCATGGTTACGGTTGTCGTCGTCCCCCCCCCCCCGGAGGAAACGGCTTTTCACTGAATGTTAACCTCGAATAATTTTTCTGAACTTTTCTGAATTATTAAAGGAAAATGAACCTGCTGTTTGTGTGTGTTTACAATGGAAATGTTTATGATCACAGCTGTGCGTCGACGTTCTCATAATTCATTTAACAATCAATAATCTAGCAAAAGCATATCCTAACTATCATTCATATACATACATATATATACATATATATACATATATATAC